TAGCTGGCCTGGCCGTGAGCACGGTATTATTGAAAGAAGAAGATGGCATCCAGCGGCCAATCCATTTTGTAAGCAAGGCTTTGAACGGCCCGGAAACCAGGTACACCTTACTAGAGAAAACAGTACTGGCCCTGATAGCTGCTATTAAACGTCTAGCACCATATTTTCAGACCCATCCGGTAACTGTGTATACTACTCAGCCACTCGCCACCATCTTGAGAAACCCAATGGCAAGTGGGTGCATTACAAAGTGGAGTCTTCTGATCGGGCAATATGAGGTGGATTTCAAGCCTCGACCTACTATCAAAGGGCAGGCCCTGGCAGATTTCATTGCAGAATGTACCGCTCGGCCCTCGGAAATAGATTCAGAGAACAGTGTGCTGGATAACTGGTGGGAAATGTGTGTGGATGGTGCAGCTAGTGCCAAGGGTTGTGGAGCCGGAGCTGTGATCACATCGCCCGAAGGTTTCAAATCATATTACTCCATTCATTTTGAATTCAAAGTAACCAACAATGAGGCTGAGTATGAGGCCCTTATTGCGGGTTTTAAATATGCGAAGACCCTGGGCGCCGATCGGTTAAAAGTCCGGTCGGATAGTCAATTTGTGGTAAATCAAGTAAATGGCACGACTGAAGCTAAAGAGGAAAGAATGAAGGCTTACAAAGAGATAGTCGAGGAGCAGATAAGCAAATTTGAACAGGTGGTGCTCGACCAAATATCCAGAATAGAAAATACTGAAGCAGACATCTTATCCAAATTAGAAAATGCAGCGCTCGACGATCGGGCACAGGAGATTCTGGCTCATATCCAACGGTTTGCCCATCGAGAAACATTGGCAACCCCAGCAATCATGGTGCTCCAGATCGAGGCCATATCTTATGCCGTCCCCAGTTGGGTCATAGATATGACCAACTACCTGAAAGACGGAACCCTCCCACAAGATAAAAATCCTACTTATCAGATAAAATGCATCCAGAGGAGGGCTTCCATGTTCGAATTAGTGGACGGACAGTTGTACAAAAAGACGTTTGGTGGGCCATATTTGAAATGCCTTCCACCCGATCTAGCGGCAGCCGTAATGGAAGAAATTCATGAGGGTATCTGCTCAAGCCACCAAGGGCCTAAGACACTGGCCAGAAAAATCATCCTGCAAGGGTATTACTGACCGACTATCCAACAAGACTGCTTTGCACATACTAGAAAATGTAAAGTATGCCAACTATACGCACCGGTCCCCGGACGGCCAGCTACTTTCTACACTCCAATGACGGTGGCCCTTCCGTTCGCAAGATGGGGGATCGACCTGCTAGGTCCTCTACCTACGGCCCCTGGGAACAACAAGTATATCATCGTTGGGATAGATTACTTTACCAAATGGGTAGAGGCCGAGCCACTGGCCAACATCACAGATGTCAAATGTCAAAAGTTTGTCTGGAAGAATATCATTTGTCGTTTCGGAATCCCCGAACAGATTGTAACTGATAATGGAAGGCAGTTCGTGAGCCGGAATTTTGAGAACTATCTGGTCAAATGGGGAATCAAGCATTCCAGAGCATCCGTGGCATACCCTCAGGCGAATGGCCAAGTAGAGAATATGAATCGTACCATCATGGACGGTATGAAGAAGAAGCTGGAAGAATACTCCTCATCATGGACTGATCAGTTAAATTATATCTTATGGACTTACAGGACTACACCCCGAATGGCCACAGGAGAAACTCCAGTTGCCCTTGCTTACGGTTTCCAGGCCAAGGTACCAACGGAGGTCCTAGTTCCCACACACCGAACGGTGCATTATAGCTCAGAGCGGAATGAGGACAACCTACAGGCTGAATTACACTTCATAGAAGAAAGAAGGGATCTAGCAGCTGCACGAATGGAAGAGTATCACAGGGCCACGAGAAGATAGTTTGAAAAGAAAGTTAAAATTCGTTCAATCGAAGTAGGGGACCTGGTGCTAAGGAAGCGAGAAAAAAGCAAACCTCTCGAAGGTGGAAAAATGGCACAAAATTGGGAAGGCCCGTATCAAATATGCAAGAAGTATGCTTCAGGAACGTTTGACCTACAATGTACCGAAGGTCGACCGGAAGGCACATGGAATACGGAACATTTAAGAAAGTTTTATCAATAAAAACGGCTCTTGCCACCTCTAAAAAAAAAGTGTATTGATATATAGAGAGGGAGACATAACTTCCAGAAAATCTCAGCCCGTGGTTAACACGATCATTCCGGATGACCGAATGACGAACGGGTTAACAACATGGAAGGAAAATCATTCTCAGTTAAGAGAGTTTTGACCCTAGATTTATGAACGGATAAAGGGATCAAAACGGCTTGAAGAATCGATGCTCAGAAAATCTCAGCCCATGGTTAACACGATCATTCCGGATGACCGAATAACGAACGGGTTAACAACATGGAAGGAAAATCATTCTCAGCTAAGAGAGTTTTGACCCTAGATTTATGAACGGATAAAGGGATCAAAACGGCTTGAAGAATCGATGCTCAGAAAATCTCAGCCCATGGTTAACACGTAGTCATTCCGGATGACCGAATGACGAACGGGTTAACAACATGGAAGGAAAGTCATTCTCAGCCAACGGCTTGGAGTTTGACACTCAGAGAGTCTCATCTCAGCGGTTAACATGGGAATCGTTCTGGACAACCGAATGAGGAACATGTTAGCAGTTTGGAGGGAGCCATTATCTCAGCTAATAGAAGTTGACCCTGTAATTACGCATTGTTAAAAGGATCAAAATGGCTTGGAGTTGATGTCGGTGATTCTCACCTCAGCTTTTTAACACGCAAAATCATTCCGGATGACCGAATGAGGAACGGGTTAACAGTTTGGAGGGAGTTGAGTCATCAACTTAGCTAAATTCGACCCTGTAATTACGTATGGGCAAAGGGATCAAAACGGCTTGGAGATGATGTCAAGACTATAAGTATGGATGAACCGAGCGATGTTCGGATAAGGTACGGATTGTCGTCCAGGGAATCGGAACTATGGTTTTGAAAAATCTCGCCTCAGTCATTAACTTGATTTGGAAGCGAGCCGCCCTTTTAGCTATAAATAAGGAATGACCCGATCCGGTGACCTTGCTTACAGTTTGAAAAGGGTTACCTCAGACCCCTAATATGGATGATACGAGCCAAAGAGAATAGTTCGGAATGCATCGGAATTATGGGTTTGGAAGGGAGATAGTCTCACCTCAGCTTGTTAACACGTGGGATCATTCTGGATGACCGAATGACGAACGGGTTAACAGTTTGGAGGGAGCCGCCGTCTCAGCTGAGAGTTTGACCCTGTGGTCACGATCAAAACGGCTTGGAGGGATTCACCTCGGCTAAAAGAGTTTTGACCCCGTGGATCACGAACGATAGAGGGATCAAAACGGGCTTGGGAAAGGTGTCAGAACAAATATGGAAAAGACCCCTAATATGGATGATACGAGCCAGAGAGAATGGTTCGGAATGCATCGGAATTATGAGTTTGGAAAGGAGATAGTCTCACCTCAGCTTGTTAACACTTGGGATCATTCCGGATGACCGAATGACGAACGGGTTAACAGTTTGGAGGGAGCCACCGTCTCAGCTGAGAGTTTGACCCTGTGGTCACGATCAAAACGGCTTGGAGGGATTCACCTCAGCTAAAAGATTTTTGACCCCGTGGATCACGAACGATAAACGGATCAAAACCGGTTTGGGAAGGGTGTCAGAACAATTATGGTCAAAATGAACGACGTTCGGTAACATGGATTGTCATTTGCAGAATCAGAATTCCCAGATAGACGACTGGATGACGAACGGTTTGGAGGAAGACATTATTTCAGCCAAAAGAATTTGACCCTGATTTTATGACCGAATAGAGGGATCAAAGCGGCTTGGAAACAATGTCAGAAATATAAAGATACATGAGCCGAATGATGTTCGGCAACACATAAAAGATTATGAGCGAGAGAAATCAAAGAAAAAACAGAAGAGAAACATCAACACAGTTAAAGAAAAATATCCAGTTTATTCTTCGGCATTACTAGCCGGAAGATACAAAAGAAAAAGAAGAGAAAGCAAAATATTACAAGGCTATGCTACTGGAGGACTGCCGTTCGGGGAAGGTGGAGGTTGAGAGCTCCCTGCCTGCGCTGCATCATCAGGCACTGCTTTTATCCTCTTCTCCATAATCCGGTCATAAGTGTTCCCGAACAGATCATCAAAGCCCAATTCATCAGGGTCGAACGGCTTAGGGAAATGTTCCAAGATCAGATCGAGGTTCCTATCTAAAAGCTGATGCTGACTTTGTGTCACAGTTTTCTCGGTCAGGACATCCAGAAAAGATTTCCCTTCCGGCGTGCTGTCCAGGAGATCGATGCCTGCCTTAACGGGATCTTCACTTTCTCGCAAAAATTGGCCAAGATGAGGTCCCAGGAATTGCCGGGCTGTATTCTCCAGAGCAACGCTCAGCCCTTTATGTGACACTCCAAAAGTTTAAATAAAATAAAATAAGTAATTTAATAAATGGTGTAATAAAATAAAATAATTTTATTACGATAAAATGGTACAAAATAATTTTAATAATTAAGGAAGTCTGATAAAATTTTTAACATTTATGACATTCTAATCAGATAAAAATACTCCAATATTAAAAGTGTCATTTTTATCATAATCTTGAAAGTGAGAGTTATAAAATAAATGATACACGTACAACGCATAAAAGGATATTTCTTATATAACCCCACGTTTACATTAATATAGTACGAGTAAAACTTTAACACTTTGTTCACACGAGGATAATCAGAGCCACGTGATTCACGCATATAAAAAGGGGAATACGCATATGTATACGGACTGAAAAGAGGCTACATACATTTTTCTTTTAGAAATAAACTCAAACACACGCCAGTTTACTCTAACGTATGCGAAACTTTAGGATCTCGAATACAAGCTAGAGCCTTCCCGCTCGCCTATATATATACTATGATCGATGATCAGCTGGAACCAACCAAAACAGACCACAAACCTAGTACGTAGTATATTACCCTGCGATAACCTTTCGACGCCAAAAACCAAAATACCCAGACCAAAAACTTTACGAAACCTCGGCCTGCGTCGCCGGAAGAGAGAGCCGTTCAGCCAGGGATTCAGATGTCGTTAGAAGGACGAACGGAGAAGGAGGAGTACTCGTCGGGATACCTTCTAGCTGCTGCCTCTGAACTCCACCGCCACCCAATATACCAGCTCGCCGGGGTCGTCACCGGACTGATTTTATTGTTCCATGCCGAACTGGTTTCAGTATTTTACGCGAAAACCACACAAGAAGACTGACGCTAAACTGTGAAGCTGGGACGAGAGAGGGGGAACTGACGCCAAACTGCAGAGCTGCCGGAGTTGGGCTACCTCCACGTCGGAAAGTGAAGAGCCGTGGGGAGGACACTGCAGCCTGCAGGGCGTCGGACTTCAGGCGTCGAGGCCCGGAAACGAGTTGCGCGGGAGGGAGTCAACGACCGCGACCGAGAGTGGACAGCATGCTACGTCCAAAGCTTTTCGCTCCTGTGTTTTCCGTTCAGCTGCTTCATCGCTGCAATGCGTAAGGCCTGTTACGTTCTTTGAGTTTTGATACGAAGTATTTTAAAGCATGGGTTGGGCTGATTGGATTAATGATAATGGATGATTTTGATTACTTTATTTGGATTAAATAAAGTGGAAACTAATATTGGATAATTTTAAATGATTAGTCATATTAATAAAATTTGAATAAAAGTATAATGGGGGAATCAGTTAAATTATTAAAAATAGAATAAGTGACTAATTATATCATCTTAATTTAAAAGGTGACTTTGATCTATTTAAAAACTTGGTAAGAGGACGTGAACTAGGAGCGTCATGGCCTTTGAGGTAAGTTTCACGTCAACCGAAATTAGTTCTTTTTCTTCGTGATTTCTTTTAAGTATTTTTGTGTGCATATTTGAGAATTGAATTTATGTGTGCTGAATTTGAGTGAATATTATATTATACGAAAGGGTTGTATTTGAGATATTAGTTGATATATTGTTTTGTTGATATGAGTTATTGTATACGATTTTGGGAGATTTTGTAAGAGTACGTAATTTGTTATTTTTGTGGGAGTTTGATGCAAATGGAATTTTTGAAGTATAAACTTCGATTGATTTTGAGAAAAATAAATATTTTCATAAAAGGTGAGCATCACGGGAGAAATCTGTGATATTGGTTTTCCACATCCCTTAAAATGTGGAGGGTGGTTAGGTCTACTACTACTCAATTTTTTGTTGGTTTTGGTTTGAGGTGAATTGACGGTCGGTAGAAAACATCCCGGCTTTTGAGTGGTAGTGGTAGTAGTAGCTCCTAATCATTCAGTTTTTGAGGTGGGGTAGTTGGTAGAAAACATCCCGGCTACCCGGATCGACTTACTAACCCGGAGGGCTTGGAATACCTTTAGGGGGTGTGCACACTTAAAGTAGTTGTTTCCGTTTCCATTGAGCAGTTGTGGTACCGACGATAGTCCCGGGGTGGCCGTACATAACAACGGACCACCGGGCTCAACCAAAGTGTTAAGCACCGCCCTTCTAAATTACTAGGAAGTTAGTTACAAAGTGTTTTTTGGAGAAATTCAATAGAGGAGAGATTTTGTTGTTTCATGTATTTTGGAATTATGATGATTCACGAGTTATGTGATTGTGATTTTGTATAGATATCGTTTACTTATGATTTATAAAGTGTTTTGAAAATATTTTTATACTAATGGTTGTATGAATTTATATATATATACTATTATTATTTTAAAAGGTTAGGTGGGACTTACTTAGCATTATTGCTAATATTTGTTTCTTTTATTTTTCTTTCTGTACATGATTTTGTACAGGTGTTGAGTTGATCGATGTTGAAGTTGATTTCGAGAGAGAGCTTTCGCTAGAAAACATTATTAGTAAATCATTGTAAATTTCTTTTTCAATAACTTTAATCAGTGAACTTTTGATTTTGAAGTTTAAGTTGTTTTAGCCTGTGCACTCGGTTAAGAGAGAACCGAGTGTGGCGGTAGCACACCTATTTCCCTTTAAATTTTTCGCTGCACATTTTCTGATGTTTTCAAATAAAGTTAGTAATACTTTCCAATAAATCATTATTTAAATGTATTTTTGAGTGGGAAATTTGGGGGTGTTACACTTTACCCCGTTGGTAATCAACTATTGATTGATTGGCAATCTGGGAAGTATTGGCCGTATAAGGTTCGGGAAGATCGTCACCAATGACCTTATCGAATTTGACCCCGGCGGATTCGGCAGCCCGCACCTTGGCCCGGAGTTCTTTAAGCTCCCGATCGCGACGTCGGGTCTTCTCTTGCATTGCAGCCAGAGCAGCTTTCGCCTTCTCACCTTCCTTGGCACGTTCTTGTAGATCTGCAGCTAATTTCCGAGCAGCAGACAGAAGGACCTGACTATCATCCCGATCGCTGGCCAGGAGTTTCATTTCCTTTTCGACCGCAAGAAAGGCCTTATGATAATATAAACCGGCCTGAAGACAAGTAACAAAGGAAGTCAGATAAAATGAACAAACAAAAGAGTAGGAAGATATGGACCAAGATTAGATGTACCTTGAGCGCTTCTTGATGACCTGCCTCAAGAAGATCAGACCAGTGGGTTAGGGTTGTAAAGCTAGGGGAAGCCTTCAGGGAAGTACTGCACCACATGGATGACAGCATTAGCCCGAACAGGTACCTTCCCTCTGCTCTAGGCCCCATATTTGAAAACTCAACGAACATCCGATCGTCGGCCGGCATTTCAGAAAGAGCTGGAGTTTTCATTGTGGCAGGCATAGATCTTTTTGGCTCAGCCTCCGGGCCAGTTAGATCCACCACATGATCAACCGGGATGAATGGGATAGCGTCATCTACCCGACGTTTCTTACGTACCCGATCAGCATCATTTGAATCCCCGGGCGTCATTTTTTCTTTGCCTTTCCCCAAGGGAGCTGATGTGGAAGTAGGAGTAGAACGCCGAACGGCAGTAGAAGGAATCACACCTGCAAGAAAGGAAATTAACATTAGAGTGAAGTTTAGAATTGAGAATGAACGGGTTGAGGCCAAACAAAGCTTACCAATCCCAGCAGCTAGCAACTTGGAGGGAGTTATGAAAGAACGGAGATTTCGTGAACCTCTCAAATGCAGAGATTCAGCTTGCGAAAGTAGAACTGCATCAGGTCTAGGCTCGGAATTCCAAACCGGATGTGCATTCCATCGATCGGGGAATGGAAGTGATGAGCCTATGCGAACAAAGAGGAACCTCTCTTCCCAATCAGCTGGCGGTGGAGGGTTGTCAGTAAACAACTGGCGATTCGATCGAGCTACCAGTTTGAGATAAACTGTGGTCCAGAAGGGTTGGTAGCAGTAATGATACAGAAACAGGTCCACACTAGGAATAATGCCCAGCTCTTGGCATCGAAGAATGAAGCCGTTCAGAAGACGATAGGAACTAGGTATGAACTGGGCCGGTAACACAGAGACCCGTTTCAAAAATTCTATCACGAATGGGTGCATAGGGAAGCGAAGTCCGGCCACAAAGGAATCAAAGTGTACTAGAACGAACCCCGGTCGATGCCTCATGGGATGCTGTATAAATCCGGCATAGATTTCTCTGGGAGGGGGCAAGAGTTGGCGGAGTTGCCGTTCGGCGTCCTCTGGGCGACGTTGTCTCTGTTTCCGTATACGGTGAAAGTGCAGAGGAATACGGGCTGGTCGTTCGGGCATTCCCTTGTTATAAACAGCAAGGTCATCACCTGATAAACACCCATCATCTGGAACAGGTTGTTCGGGCTGCTTAACTTTCGAATTAACGGTATCAGGTATTTGGGACGACGAACCCCCAGATTTGTCAGTAGGTGCTTTTCCTCTTGAACGGTGAATAAGCGGCATGTCCTCTTCTTCTGAAGAACCGGTGGAAAAGAACATAAAGCACAAGAAGCTCAGGATTTCTAGAGAGAGAAATCTTAGAAAGAAAACTAAGGAAACAGCAAGAGAAATGAGGGGCAAGCACCTCTCTATAAATAGGGAAAGTGCCGCCCAAAACCCTAATCCATAAACAACACGTGGCATTAAGTGGTTATGATTAATCAGGACGTATTTATGGCCCATTGTTAGGCACGTACCCCGAACGGGCAATGAAAAAACATGGTTGCGAGTACTGGTCAACCAGGCAAGCGAACGACGAACGGGCACTTACATTTTGAGGCAAATCTTTTCACACAAAGGAAAGCAACAAGGTCCATGAGGACGACTAAATACTACTCAATTCGTCAATTAACGAAACAGCGAGCCAGATAACTAAGATGTTTCAAATTAACCGAATGATGAATGGACTCACAGAGAATTGCTGGTTATAAAATTGCTAAGTCCCTAAAAATGATCAGAAGCCCGAACGGCTATCAACATGTGAAGGAAGCCAAATGCGGTGAACTGACGGAAACATCTGAGGCCAGAAGAAAATTGCTAAGTCCTAAAATATGGTCAGAAGCCCGAACGGCTGTCAACACAAAAAGAAAGGGGCCAAATCCTGGTAAATTGTCAGAACTATCTGATGCCCGAGCGGCAATCAAACGATGATAGGAATGTTAAGTGAAAAATAAGGTCAGAAAGCTGTTAAGTCCTATAAAATGGGCCCAATCCCGAATGGTAAGCAATAAATCAAGAAAGGCAATTTAAGAAGCTTTGTGCAAAACAAAAGATGTGTATTCATCGGCTCTACTAGCCGGGAAATACATGCTACTTAAAGAGGAGAAAATTACAACGATTGATAAAAAATTAAAAATCTAAATTACTGTCCAGGGGCCATCTCTTCTCCATCTTCATCTTCATCTTCATCAGATGGGGGTTCAGGCTCTCTCCCAGCAGCCCGACTGCCCGATCAGCTTCCCGTTGCAGATTTCGCTGAAATTTCTCAAATTGAGCTTGAACGACTTCATTCTGGGGAAGATCAGAAGCCTGAACTGGCCTCCCAAGTTGGTTCTGAAGTTGGGCTACAAAAGGACGTAGCAGGACCTAGCCGATCTTGGCATAAAGATCCGAGACAATGGAGTCATTCCATTTCTTGCTCTCAGGATCCTTATCTAAAAGAGCCACCCCTGTCGAGAGCCGACCAGCACCCCTAGGAAACTCCTTCAGGTACGCACCAAATGCGAACGGGATTTGCGTCCTGACGTGATCATCCTTGATGATGGAGAATTCATTGGAGGATTTGAATGATTCCCGGACAGCGGATAGATCCACATTCACCTCATATGGGCCGTCCGGGATGCTAGAGGACATCTCCTCAAATTTGATTTGTGCAGCCTCGGCAGTGATGACCTTAGCTTGGGAGGCAGCAAGTTGGACCTGAAGGGTACCAAGCTCAGTATCCAGCTTTTGGTTTTCCTCCGCAAAAGCTTTCCGTTCGGCCTCCAGGGATGTGATGGCAGCAGCAGCAGTTTGCTCGGCAGAGGATTGAGCAACGATTAATTCCCGTTCCTTAGTCAGACGGGCTTCCCGCATTTGCAAAGTGTACAATCCCATCTACAAAGCGTCGTTCGAGAGTTAGTAACTGATTACAGAGAATAAAATAGGAACGAAGCACAAAAGATAATATACCTTCAGTGCGGTCAAGGCCAGGCACTCTTTGGATTGCTCGACCGGTAATTGGGGAAGAGAGAAATTGTTAAACCAGGAGGATGTTGACCAGATCTGGCTCGCGGAAGAACCAGCTCTCTCTAGCGCCTCATGAACAGGATCCGACAAAGAGATCCGTTCGACCTGACCAGTGATATGGTCGGTATGAATCCCGCCTACGTTCGAGGTTGCACCCTGAACGGAATCAAAGTGTTGGGAAAACTGGTGCAGCTGATCAGAACCAAATCGGTCATCAATCATCATGGCATCATACTGATCCTGACCAGAAAATTGCTGAATAGGCTCCGGTTGCTGAACGGCCGGTGCAGGTTCGGGTTGAGGAGCAGTAGTGGTGGGTGAATCAACTTTAGGATTTTTCTTCATTTTCTTCTTCCTCTTCCCGACCCCGCCAGCAAAAAGCACACGACTGTCATCCATGGTAGCGTCTGGATTGGGAGCTGAAAATGACAAAGGAAAATGTTAGTACCGAGCGGCCTTAGCATGTGAGAAACTAGAAAAAAGAAGAGAACGTTTCTCGCACGGGAAGGACCGCCCGAACCATGGCACTTAATTCTCAAAACAAGTAAACCCAAGAGAACGGGCAGTACCTATCCCGGCTTTAACAAGCCGATCGGGAGTCAGGTAGGTCATGATATCACAACACTTATCTTTCTCCACAGTGAGTACATCCTTGTAGATTTCCTCAGTGAGAACTGGGTCGGGAGTCTTGCGAGGGGAGGCGTTCCATTTACGAGGGATCAACCCGTCCGGGATAGACACGAAGAAGAACCTATCTTTCCATCCCTTGATTGAGGTTGGATTGCCCTTGAATAGAATATGGCCCGTTCGAGAACTAGCGGCTAGATACCCATGAGTTTGTTGGGGGGCTACTTTGAAAAATTGATGGAATAAATCTAAGGTCGGTGAGGCACCGACATCTTTACAACGACAAATAAAGCCCGCCATTGCCCGATAGGAGTTCGACAAATAATGCAATTCGCAATCGCAATGCTACCACAACAAAAAACCTTGACATAGACTAAAGAGTAAATATATGATGATGGATAATTTAATATTAGTCATTTAATTACCATATAAAAATTTATTATTGTTTGTGATTAAATCAATAGATCATAGTAAAAATCCATTATATTAAACTATGTGTCCTATGAATGATTCACAATATCTATTACGCCCTCTGTCTCGAGATAACTTTCTTGCTTTCCTTTTTGATCTGTCTCAAAATAATTGTCTCTTTTCCTCTTTTGAAAATAATATGTGGCTCATATCAATTCACATTTTCTCCACTAAAATTTCAACCACAACTTTTACCTTTTCATCCACTTTCTTAAAACTTGTGCTAAAACAAACGAGACATTTATTTTGGGACGGAGGGAGTAGCTAGTATTTTCATTTTAACTCATATCAAATTGACGCGCCGCTACCGGGGCATTGCCCCGGGCTTTACACTAGTTTAGAATAAATAAACTCGTATATAATTCGAATTCAAGTCAAGAGATATATTTTCGAGGGAAAATTCACTTCACATTCCCTCATTTACTAACCACACACACATATTTTCGTATATAATAATTTTTTCCTATAATACCTGTTAGACTACCCACAAAATTGCTCCGACAGTTTTCCTATAATACTCCGTTAATCCAGTTTTCCTCTGCAATCCAGCACCGCCAATAAATTCACCCAGCAAAGTTTTTTTTGTTTGAATCCTTACTTGTATCATTAAACATCAATTTTTTTGTCAATATTATATTTACGAATAATTAAGATTTAAAAGTCAAACATTCTGATGTAAAATATATACAACTCCGTATAAATTTGTTGTTTAACATTTTATTGCTACTTCAGACCTACTGTTGAAAAAAATAACCAAAAGCTTTGAAAAAAATTTGTATCCATGATATCATATTTGAAGTATTTAAATCTATATACTTAAGAAAAACTTTTAGCTTAAAAAAATCCAAGAGTTGAATCTTGATTTTTTATAAAATGGAGAACTATCAAATAAGCCCTTGAACTTTCATAAAAAGTGCAAATAAGTCTTTTACAGGAGGCTTTGTTCGGCTGTCGTCATTTGGGGCGGTTTTCTGTTGGATTTTTTTGATGAACTTTTTTGAGCATCTTCTTCATTAATTCTAGTTTACACATACTAAAGTTCAGCTAAAACTTCAATCGAGAAGGCAGTCAAATGATTTTCTGAAATATACTGCGCTGTCTAACTGCGCAGTTATCTTCAAAAATTCATTTGACTGCCTTACGGATTGAATTTTTAGCTAAAATTTGGTATGAGTAAACTAGACTTAATCAGGAAGATGCTCAAAAAAGTTTTAAAAAAATACACCGAAAATCGCCCCAAATGGCGACGTCGGGACAGAGCCTCCTATAAAAGGGCTTATTTGCCCTTTTTATGAAAGTTCGAGGGCTTATTTGGTAGTTCTCCCTTTATAAAAACATTATATTGCAATATTAGTTTCATATGTTATGTAATAAAAATTTATTAATTTTAATATATTTTTTGTAAAAATTGGAATACTAATAAAGAAGTTATGAGTTTAAAAAAGTTTTTTTTAATCATGGGCCAATGGCCTACTTTAAATTTGTCCGTGCACCCTTTCCGACTACCTTTTTTTTCTCTCTCTTGGGGGTGAAAAGTGGGTATGTTATTTCCCCATCTTAGGAGAGCGTTTGGTAGGACGTAAAATAATTACTTTGCATGCGAATATAGGGATCTAAAAAATTTATATGCATTGTTTGACTTGATTATTAATGTTAGGATGCTTTTTTAAAACATTTCGCACCATACCATGTAACTTATTTTACGTTGGGGGGCGTAAATATTTTGCATGGTTTTTGTGAAGCACTACAATGCTTCTTTAATTACACCTCTAGCCAAACAGTGTAATCTATTTTACATGCAAAGTGATGATTCAAAAGTTTAACGTGTAAACTACCAAACGAGCCTTAGGTTCCATATGTCCATTTCCCCCCTTCATATATCATGATTGTACAAGAACTTGGGGTGAAAATTTTAACCTTTTTCTTTTCACTTCAAGGTTACAATTGGTCTTATAATGTTATTACTAATTATGTACGTTACAGCCTGAATCGCGCGTTGAGTATTTTGGAATATATTTCACTCATACCGCTGATTGAACTTTTCAGTCGAAAGGGCGCACATGAGTTGAGATCAATGAACTGAGAAGGACCTTTAACTTCGATCCATCTTAGCATCCCATGATTTTCCAAGGTTCCTTTGACATTGCATGTATGATAATGGTAACTGATAGTCAATTTACTTTGCTGCATTGTAACTTTGCTTCAACTTCAGGTCTTTTCGGATATTGTTAAACAAAATATTTTTCTAGTTTGAAATATCCATTTACAAACCGAAATTAATAGATACTTTTATCGTTAGCAAACTTTAGAAGGTCCGAATCCCAAATCTGAAACACTATTTTACGTGTTTGTTTATTTGTTTGTTATATTTCCATATTTTTGCAGCACTAATTAACCTCCCAGTAAAATTGCATGAATTTGGGATGTAGTGAAGCCAATGTAGTCATAGTTGTTGTTGTGCTCTTGCCCTTATCATGTGCGGTTGATGTGTTGCACAGGCCGGTTGATGTGTTGCACAGGCCTTGATTTTGATAGTTTTTGTGTTTGAAGTCTGCTGGCCAGCTGGGGTATGCTCCCATTACTTTTTCTGGTTTTTGGTTGAATCCAAAGTACCCTAAAATCTGGCTGAAAAACAATTAATTAAGTCTTCAATCAATAGAGCTATGTGCTTTAAGATAGGGTATGAGATATTAAGTCTCAACCAATATATACTCCAACACTAGTTAGGATGGTTTAAGCTATTTTTCTTCATTGTGTGAAGCAGGGATGGATCTAATGTACAGGTTATGGTAGGCTGAAGTCCAATGCAATTTATTTATTGATAGAGTATATATCTAGAGAGAAGTGAGAGCTAGAGAGAGAAGTGCAAGTAAATGCTTCAATAGAATGATTTTGTAACCCCTACAACTACCTCCAGAGGAAGTATTTATAGGAAAAATACGGGCTGGGCTCCCAAGCCTTGGGCTTGGGAGGCCCATTTACAATTGGACCGCTATTGGGTCGAATACAATGTGTGTAGAAATGATTAAGTGTAAAATCTAGTTCTGTGAAGCTTCCATGGCCGACGAGGGTCTGGCCGACGAGGGCACGGCCGATGAGGGCATGGCCGATGAGGACACCCTGGTTCCCTGGCTTCAGGATCATATTCTGAGTTGGTCCCTCTTCGGCCGACGGGGGTCCTTTGGCCGACGAGGGCACTGCCTAGTGGCTTGTACTTTCTGTTCTTCTGAGTATGTGGGTCCTGGGGCCTAGACCCATATACTCCATCAGGAGTCCCCCACTCTCTAAGCTGAGATGTAGACGAAGTGAAGGAGAGTAGATTCCTGTGCTTGATGCTCTTGGCCGATGCGGGATCACGTTGTCCGTTCTCTGTCGACGTTGGTGGTCCTGTTCTGAGTCTGGCCGTTACCTGTTCCTTGACGTGGTCGAGGAAGGCTATTGTTCCTTTGGTGCGCTTGTTTGTGGACGATGAGTGTTCTGGCATGAGTGGCCGATGAAGGTAGTGTCTATCCCTGGTCGTTGATGGTTGAACTTTCTTTTTGGGCTGATGAGGCCGTTGGGGTTGTGTCTTGTTTTGGGTTGCCGGTGAGGGTGTTACGCACTCCTTTTGGCCGTTGTTGATGACACCATGTGCCTTTGGGCGATAAGGCGCCATATTGCCCAATGTTGTGGGGATGATAACATTGTCTGGCCGGAGATGGAGTTGTGAGGATCTTGGAGCCGTTGTGGTACATTGGACGATAGTGATTCCGGTATGTTAACCTCCCGTTCTTTGATTCCTGGTTGAGAGTGGTGTGGTTTCAAAGCCGATAAGTGTCCTGTGATCTCAAGCTTTGCTGCGGCCAAAGGTGCACCATGATGTCATGGACGTTGTGGTGCATGTCTGATGTTGTAGTTGTGGACTTAGTATATTTTTGGATTTCTTTGATTTTGTCCTGATTTGCAAAGGCCGGTGTAGTCCCCCAGTCCCCCACTGCTTCAGGCCGAAGAGTGAGTGAGGGGTGAAGGAGTAGCTTGAAAACTAGGCCGAAGCGGGATCCTCATACTACCCTTGGATCCAACCCTTTGGCGATTTCCTGACCAAGGTAACCCTGTGGGAGAACCCTTGGACGCAGGTCGCTTTCAAAGGGTTATCATCAAGGGTTTAGTGCGAGGGCCTCATGGTCGTTGGGTTCCTTTCCCTTGGGGTGTTGTGGCCGTTGTAGGGCCTTCCTTTACATAATATGTATGGCCGCTTGAATGGCCGATACGGGTGCTACCTGGGTAGCCGTAGTCTGTGTTGGCCGTTGAATGCCCTAGCCGTTGTGGGTGTTATTTTCCCCTTTCGCGTTCCGTAGAGCCTGCTTTGCTGGTGGGCTATTGATCTGTGGATTGGGCCTGGCCCATTAACGAAGTGGTGGCATCCCATTGGTGGTCGTTGGGGTGGCCACTAGGAGGGTGCCACGTGTAGTGATCGTTGGGGGGGGAGGTTCTATAAATACCCCTCCCTTTCCGACGAAAGCTCTCATTTGCAATCTGAGTTACTGAAGTGCTGGCCAAATTTCTAGAGAGATAAACCCAAAGCAAGTGTTCTTCATGTTCTTCAAGGCTTCAAGGTTAATTTCATCGAAATTCTTCTGTACTTTGCCTATTTTGCTTCCTAGGCCATTGAGCTAGTGTTAGGCATTTGAACACCTTTAGATCTCGAAATAGGTTGCCTTAGATTCGAAATAGTGTTTAAGATGAAAGATTTGAACGAAGAATACTACCCCTACGACGATGAGCCTTCCACCAAGTCCCTTGACTATGAAGTGGTCGAGGAGTTCTGTGAAGAGCTTGAAAACCTGAGCTCGTTAAAGTCTGGGGAGCAGGACGATGAGGACGGTGAGGACGAGGAGTCTGCCTCATCGTCTAGAGGTGGGGACGTAGGGGTCTCCCGAACTGCGGATGGGGCGTCCACGTCGGCTGCCATCCCATGCCCGAAGCCGGTGTCTGCCGTCAAGGGTGTTGCACCACCGAAAAGGGTGAAGAGGCCGAAGAGGGGACCAGCCTTCTCTTACTTGGATCTTACAAATATCTTCATCATCAGGCCGCAGAGCAATGCGGGTGAGTACATGGTCGCACAGATGTACGTGGGGCCATTTGGTAGGGTTAGGGCCCCTAGACCGACGGACCATGTCCTCAACCCACCCACGGGATACTTTGGAGTGTACCCGATGAGCTTTGCCAAAGGACTTAGGTTCCCGCTTCATACGTTCATCACCGAGTACCTAGACATGGTGGGGCTCCCTCCGGCCTTGTTGACGTCGAACAGCTACTCGCTTATCATCGGGTTCCTCTTACGGTGTGCTGAGTTGGATTTCCGGCCGACGACGGCGCTTTTCATGAACCTCTATCAGATAGGCCGTGGAAGTCATCAGAACTGTGCCTCCTATGCCACTCTCCAACAACTCCCTAAGAAAAGACGTTTCACAGACCTGCCGACGTCCATCCATGGTTGGAAGGGTATGTTTGTGTTCGTGTCATTGGGTGAAGGGGGCGTAGAGTTTCCCTCCGTCGGCCACAGTGGGCGGTTCAATCTGCATGACACACCGAGGAGCTCCATCCTGGACGCTCAGGTTGAGGCTTTCCTGAACGGAGGGCCGAGGAGTGTGAAGACGTACATCACGGAGTACAAGATGGCCGCCCTCGGCTTCGTGAGGTATTTTGTGTATGGTGATAATGACGACGATGTAGAGTTGTGGCCGAAGATGACCACAACTTACGAGGAGGCTGATGGTACCGATCTGGGGGTGCCAGCTGAGGACGATGGAAATACCTTTTTGATGCACTCCTTCTCATCGTAGTTTTATATCATTTGTTTGCTGACCCTTAGTGTTTTTTCTGGTGTAGGTTTTGTCATGGATCGCATGTCCTTTATGAAGAGGGCACAACTTAAGGCGGCCGAAGAGTTGAAGGCCCAGCAGCCTGCCACTGCCCCTGCGGCCAAGCCCCCTGTCCAGCCGAAAAAAGAAACGGCAGGCCGATGAGGGCCAAAAGAAGTTGACCGAGGCGGGCCTGAAGCCCACTAAGAAGTCGAAGAGGGCTTCTCCCTCTGGTGATGCCGGGACGTCGGCTGTTCCTTCTGGGGACGGAGGGGGTTCCAACGCCGATGCTCTGGTGGATCTCACTTCGGGCCCTCCGTCCACTACTTTATCCACCATTCCTCCCACCGCAGCGGCCACCCGGAAGAAAGGTTCCGGCCGAGAGCTGGTCAGAGGGACCTACAAGCTCGAGGTTGAATACCCCGTTAAGGGGGGTCTATTCAACGAGATCATTGACGGCCACGAGGTGATCTCCCAGGCCATCCCCGACGAGGACCGGGCTTACCTGAAGAAGCTCGGCAACGTCAAGATGTACGATGGTGGGATGGACCACATCGTCCAAGTGAGTTCTCCTGTCTGCTTCGTCTTCCTCTTTTTTTTGTTATGCATCATGGTCGTCTAACCCTTGTTTTACCGCAGGGCGCCTTCATGTTGATGGAAAGCAACAGAAGGCAGCAAAAGGAGATTGCTCGTTTGAAGCAATTTGAGCAGAAGGTGGCTTCGGTCGACGAGGCCCTGGGCAGCTTGGAGAGGCTGCGGCCCGAGGTGGAAAGCCTGAAGAAAAGGGCTGATGAGGCTGATCAGCTGGCCGCTGAGAAGGATGGGGCCCTTCAGCGCTTGGCCGACGTGGAGCGCACTCGTGATGAGGCCCTTCATCGTCCTGAGGAGGCCGAGAAGGGTAAGGCCAATGCAGAGCTGGCCCTGACTGCTGCTGAAGAGAAGGCTGCTGAGGCCGCCGTGCAGAAGTTCCTCGAGGTTGGCTGGAAGGACGAGGACCGGCTCCCCTGGTGCTTCGACGTCGTGGCGGCGAGGCTCGTCGACTGGGTGAATAAGTCCCCCGACGGCCAGGCATACTGGGAGAAGGAGATGAAGGTCTTCTACGACCTCGGCCAGTACCGGATGCAACGGCTGCTCTATCGGAGGCTCCAACGTCATTTCTTGGATTTGGGTGTGGCCAAGAAGTGGGCCGTCTGCCTTGAGTTGCCTTCGATGATGAGGCATCCCGAAGCGGAGTTGGAGCTCCCTGCGGCGGAACGGCAGCTCCCTATTGAGAGCTCTCAAGCCAGCGATGATTGGGCCTATGAGCCAAGCATGTTTGAAGACACCGCCACGTCCGGTGTTGCTGCCGATGCGGTCACTGCCCAGGCCGAAGAGAAAGCCGGTGCTGAAAAGGACTCCGAAGCCCCGCCGGAGCCATGATTCATTGTACTTTTGTTTTTTGATTTTCATTATGTAACGGCCAAGAAGCCCAAGTTGTATCCCCTTTTTTGTGAATGAAAAATACACCTCTTCTCGTCTTTCGTGCTTCAATATATTGCCTTGTGTTTTCTTCTGTTTATGTGATGTCCAATTGTGTTGGGGGTTGGGTCATTGTCGGCCTCAATTGCCTTCTGGTTGTGGCCGAAGCGGACAGCTTAAGTGTGAGTGCTCGCTTCGCCTTGATGTCAAAATACTTAGAAAATTTTTGGAAATTTTTCTAAGTATAAAATGTCAGCCATAGCTTTAGGGCTCTTCTATGTGGGCAGCCGATACGGACACCGGGCCGAGGAGGGTACTTGCGAATGTTTGAGTGCCCGATTCATCCCGATGTCAAAATACTTAGAAACTTTTTGGAAAATTTTCTAAGTGTCAGCCATAATTTTAGGGCTCTTCTAAGTGGCAGCCGATACGGACACCGGGGCCGAGGAGGGTACCTTCAAATGTCCTGAGTGCCCGCTTCGTCTCGAGGCTGCCCCCTAGCTACCTGATGCTTTGGAGATTTGTCTAAGTGTTTGGGCTTTGTAGTTTTCTCTGCTTGCTACCCTTGTCGGCCAAGCCTTTCATATTTGCTTTCTTCGGAAAATTTTCTAAGTGTTTGAAATCCACTTAGGCGACTTTCATCTGTTGTTCGCTTCGTCTTGGGGACGTCTCTTACTTTTTGCCTTTAGAATTTTTCTAAGTGTCAACTTGAGCAGCCGCCTAAGTTTTAGTGCCTTTAACGGTCAGCAAGACCTTGTCGGCCTGGGTTGCGCATCGTGGTGTTTTCTTGGCCAATGTGGGCGCTGCTGAGTTGTGTCATCCTTCCCGAGGGCCTCGTCGGCTGAGACCAACCGGGGAAGATAATGTATTTGGCTGTGTTGTCGGCCTGCATGTTTGCCTTTTATCGTTTCACACTTAAAAAGAAAATTTTTCTAAGTGTCGAGATTTGGTAGTGGATTCCGCTTGGGGTTGCCAACGGCCCTGTATTGTTGGGTGGCCGATGAAAGTAACATTTTTTTGTGGCCGTAGAGGACGACCAGCCTTGTTTCACACCACCAAATCGGTTGGGATTTTGTAGGTGCGCGCCTCGGTCGTGGCACCTATTCGTAGTGTAGCCTCCGTATCGGTCTGATATGTACTTGATATTTTTGTGGGGATTTCTTCTCTTTTTTTTTGTTGCTCGAGGCCGGCAAGTGTGCGCGGTCCGTCGGCTTCCCTCTTTTTTTTGTTCCCTTTTTCGGGGAGTGTCCTTTTTTCAGGCTTCGGCCGAAGGGGTCGATAGTCCTTCGGCCGGTTTTGGACTTCGTTTATAACATCCATGATCTCAGGGGGAGTCCCGTCGCCTATTTATGACGCGAGCTAGACTTTTGGTTGGTTTCCAACGGCTGCTGTTGCCCAACCCTGAGTTTGGGGATTTTGTCACCTCGGCCATGATTTCAGGCCTGTCGTCCTGCGATCAGGGGCGTGGACGACGTGATGAACTTCCCATTTCAAGACGCGGGCCGTTTGCGGGCCCATCGCCCTGGGGACATTGTCGGCCCTGCCTGAGCGTTTCGTTCTGAGGGGCCAGTACGACGTGCTCTTTCAGCTGGGCCTAAACCTTTCGCTGATGCAAAATACAAAGGAGCATACCTGAGCCTTTCGCTCTAAAGCTGCAGATGCGAAGCGCCACATCGGCCATGCCTGAGCCATTCGCTCTAAGGTGGACGATGAGGGCGCCCGTTTAATGTTTTTACCCAAATTCCAAGAAATCAAAGGAAACATGGTTTTTATTCATAAGTGGCTCAAGGCCGAGGGTGGTGTTCAATCAATAACCCGTCAAGGGGTGAGGGCTTTGTCGGCTGCACCTCTTTCGGATTATTGATAAAACTTCACCAGATGGTGTACATTCCACGTTCGTGGTACATTGGTCCCGTTTGGGCGTTTAAGCTTGTAGGTGCCGGGTTTCACCACGGCACTGACGATGTAGGGGCCTTCATATTTCAAGGCTAGCTTTCCCCCTTCCGTCGGCTGACTTTCTTCCCTTCGGCGGAGGACGTAGTCCCCCACTACGAATTCTCGGGAACATACCTTGGCGTCATAGTATGATTTCACTTGACGCCGGTAGTTCTCTGCTCGGATGAATGCCTGTTCACGTCTTTCTTCGACCAGTTGGAGGTCGATTTTCATGTTTTCCTCGTTGACCTCAGGGTCATTCTGCTCCACCCGTCGGCTGGGAATGGTGACTTCCGTGGGTGCCTTTGCTTCAAAGCCATAGCACAGGGCAAAAGGAGTCTCACCTGTTGCCCTCCTTGGCGTAGTACGATAGCACCACAAGATGTTGGGGAGCTCGTCGACCCAACTTCTTCCTACGTCCTGCAGGTTCTTCTTCAGCCCCTCCATTATGGTTCTGTTGGCGTTCTCAACCTGCCCGTTACCTTGAGGGTAGGCAACGGAGGAGAAACAGTGCTTTATTCCCCATTCCCGAAGGAGCTCCTGAAAGGGCGCCGCTTCGAACTGGATGCCGTTGTCAGATATGATCTCTTGGGGGACGCCAAAGCGGGTGAGAATGTTCTTGTGGACGAACTTCTGGCACCTAGCCCCCGTGATGCTGGCCAAAGGTTCCGCTTCGATCCACTTGGTGAAGTAGTCGACTGCGACGATAATGTAGCGGTTGTTGCCAGCAGCTCTGGGTAGTGGGCCGACCAGGTCAATCCCCCACCTTGAAAATGGGATTGCAGTGCTGACGGGGGCGTAGTTGACGGCCGGCCGGCTAGGGGCTTTCTGGAGCACCTGGCACGTGGTGCATTTCCTTGCAAGATCTGCACAATCCCGCGCCATCGTCGGCCAGAAATAGCTCAGGACGACGAGACGCCGAGACATACTAAAAGGACCCTGGTGTGAGGAGCAAACACCGCAGTGAACTTCCTCCATGGCCACTTCGGCCTCGTCCTGGTGCAGGCATCGGAGGAGAGTGCCATTGTAGGATCGCTTGTAGAGCTTACCATCCTTAATAGTGTAGCTTGGAGCCCTGAGCTTGGCAAGCTTGGCCCTCTCCTCGTCTTGGGGTAGCTCCCCCGTGATGATGAAAGTGGTGATGTCGGAGATCCAGTCCTCCGGCCGCTGTTGGATGCACAAGATGGGGCTGGCATGGATGCTGGACATGCTCAGCTCTTCGATCTTGGCTAGCTTGGAGATGTGCTCCGGAGTATCCGAGCTGAGCTTGGAGAGGATGTCGGCCTCGGCGTTCTCGGCCCTTGGGATCTGTGTGATCTCGTAGGTTTCGAACGCCTTCAGCAACTCCTCTGCTGCCTGTTTGTATTGATTCATCCAGCCTTCCTTTGCTTCGTACGTACCCTCAACCTGGCCCACTACCAGCTTGGAGTCGCACATTATTCTGATGTGCTTGGCTCTGAGACCAGCGGCAAGTCTGAGGCCGCTGAGGAGGGCCTCATACTCGGCTTCATTGTTAGATACCCTGAAGTTGAAGCAGATGGCATAGTAAGCTCTGAATCCTTCAGGGGAGATGAGGACGACGACGCCCCCGCATGATTTTGCGGCCGACGAGCCGTCGGTGAAGAGGATCCACATGTCATCTGGCTCTGGCCCGGGGGTGGTAGTGGTCATCTCCCTTGATGTACATTCGGTGACGAAGTCGGCCAAGGCTTGCCCTTTGATAGATGGCCTTGGCTTGATCTCAATTTGGAATTGGCTGAGTAAGATCGCCCATTTAACCATCCTCGAGGAGCTAGTGGGGCTTCTCATGAGCGCGCCAAGGGGCTGCTGGGTCAGTACGTGGACGGTGTGGGCCTGGAAGTAGTGCCCCAGTTTTTGCACCGTGTGGACGATGGCTAGCACCGTCTTCTCGATGGGGGAGTACCTCAGCTCGGCCTCCCTGAGTGTGTTGCTAATGTAGAATATGGCCTTCTGCACCCCTTCGTCCTCGCGGATGAGCACGGAGCTCATGGCCGACGTGCTCACCCCCAAGTACAAGAAGAGGGTTTCGCCGGCTGTGGGCTTAGAGAGCACTGGTGGGGACGAAAGGTACCTCTTCAGCTCTTCAAATGCTTCCTGGCACTCCGTCGTCCATTTGAAGCTGTTTGCTTTGCGCATGATCTGGAAAAAAGGGAGTGGTCTCTCGGCTGATTTGGAGAGGAAGCGGCTCAGGGCCGCCAGGCGCCCCGTCAGCCGCTGTACCTCTTTGACGTTGCGGGGCAGCTCCATGTTGATGATAGCCTGTATCTTCTCCGGGTTTATTTCGATGCCTCTCCGGCTGACCATGTAGCCGAGGAACTTACCACCTTGGACGCCAAAGGCGCACTTCTTGGGATTGAGGCAGGGCTTGAACTCCTTCATGATCTCAAAAATTTCCCGGAGGTCGTCAGCATATGTGGTGGCTCTCTTGCTTTTGACAATCATGTCATCAACGTATGCCTCCATCGTCCGGCCGAGGACTGCTATGAAGATCTTAGCCACCATCCTGGTATAGGTGGCACCGGAGTTTTTGAGCCTGAAGGCCATGACGAGGTAGCAAAAAATTCCCTCCGGGGTCATGAACGCCGTATTCTCGGCATCATCTTCATGCATGAAAATCTGGTGGTACCCTCTAAAGGCGTCGAGGAACGACATCAACTCGCATCCCGCCGTCTCGTCCACCAATTGATCAATGTTGGGGAGAGGGAACGGGTCCATGGGGTACGCCTTGTTCAGGTCAGTGTAATCAACACACATTCTGAATGTCGGCGGTTTTTGGGCGAGGACGACGTTGACTAGTCACGTCGGGTACTTCACCTCTTTGATGTGGTTGATTGAGAGGAGCATGGCGACCTCCCCTTTGACGAAGTCCCGCTTGTCGGCGGATAAGTAGCGTCGCTTCTGCTTGACAGGCGCGGAGGGCGGATCGACGGTCAGCCGGTGGGTGATCACCTTCCGGGTGATGCCTGGCATGTCGTCCGAGCCCCACGAGAAGATAACGGCGTATGACCGTAGGACGAGGAGGATGGCGTCCCGCTGGTCTTGCGGGAGTTGCTTCCCAATTTTGAAGACCCGCTCTGGCCGGGAGG